GACTCAAATGCGTTCTTTTTTATCGCTGAGTAATATTCCATTGTGTGTATGTACCACAACTTCTTTATCCATTCATCTGTTGATGGATATCTAGGTTGCTTCCATGTTCTAGCTATTGTAAATAGTGCTGCAATGAACAACAGGACACATGTGTCTCTTTCAATTTTGGTTTCTTCAGGGTATATGCCTAGGAGTGGGATTGCTAGGTCATATGGTGGTTTTATTCCTAGTTTTTTAAGGAATCTCCATATCGTCTTCCATAGTGGCTCTATCAATTTACATTCCCACCAACAGTTCTTATTGTTGAGGTCTAAGAATTCTTTGTGCATTTTAGATAACTGTATTTTACCATGTGTGTTTTACAAATGTTTTCTTCCAATCTGTGGCTTACAATGAAATTCTATGAAGCCTTTAAAAGGAAAGAGATAGATCTGTATGTACTGATATAGAAATATACCTATTACAGATTATTAAATAGAGGGAAAAGTACAGAATCAAGACAACTTTGTGCATATAAGACAAACATTTTTCTTTCTGGAAATACCAAAGAAAAATGGTGATGTGAAACTTCTCTTACTTTGCTAATATTTTCCTTTCTCTACTTTTTAAAATTTTCTAAACATTTAAAATTTATTTATTCTACTTAGATGGTAGTATAGACTTTAGGCAATTTTCCTCAATTTGCTTATTCCTCAGGTTGTGAGTGTGGTTTAATTTAAAATTAAAGAAAAACTAACATATTTTAATAGAGTTTTAAAGGAAATCCTTCAAGGAAATCAAGAACATGCCAGTTTCCCCAAATTTGACCCTAGCTTTCTCAATTTTTGCTTATGGAAAACTATTCTCCAGCCAGCCAGGCCAAATATCTGTTTGCTTTCCTCTATCTTACAATTTATCTATTGTGTTTCCTTAATATGACATACATTTCCTTACCTTTCTCTCATGTCTGTAATTTCTCCTTATCTTTAAGAGTCAATCTAAGCATAGTTTTATTTAGAAAGCATTTAATTTTTAGGACAAAGTTAAGTTCTTCCTTCTCTGGATTCACATACCTCTTACATTTCTTTCATGGGCTTCCTGGGCAGTTCAACCAAAAAGAATTCGCCTGCAATGCAGGAGATTCAGGTGACAGTGTTATATTGCTATGTGTTTTTGTCTCCTGTCTTTTTGAAGGATTATAAAGAAGGTTGAGAGCCAAAGAACTGATGCTTTCAAACTGTGGTACTGAAGAAGAGTCTTGAGAGTCTCTTGGTCTGCAAGGAGATCAAACCAGTCAATCTTAAAAAAAATCAACCCTGAGTATTCATTGAAAGGACTTATGGTGAAGCTGAAGCTCCAATATTTTGGCCACCTGATGCAAAGAGCCAATTCACTGGAAAAGGTCTGATGATGGGAATGATTGAGGGAAGAAGGAGAAGGGGGCCACAGAGGATGAGATAGTTGGATAGCATCACTGACATGAGTTCGAGTAAACTCCAGGAGACAGTGAAGGACAAGGAAGCCTGGTGTGCTGCAGTCCATGGGGTTGCAAGGAGTTGGAACAACTTGGCTACTAAACAACAACAAAGCATCTGGAAGTCAGGCCTTTTTATCCGTACCAATAGATAAAAAGGCACAGTTACTGGCATAGTATCTAGAATATAGTAAAAACTTAAAATGCTTGATGAATGAGTGAATTTTTAATGAAAATGATTTATCCTCAATCTAAGAGTAGTCAAGTCAAGTCTAGTCAAGGCTATGGCTTTTCCAGTACTTATATATGGATGTGAAAGTTGGACTATAAAGAAAGCTGAGCACTAAAGAATTGATGCTTTTGAACTGTGGTGTTGGAGAAGACTCTTGAGAGTCCCCTGGACTGCAAGGAGATCCAACCAGTTTATCCTAAAGGAAATCAGTTCTGAATATTCATTGGAAGGACTGATGCTGAAGCTGAAACTCCAATACTTTGGCCACCTGATACAAAGAACTGAGTCATTGGAAAAGACACTGATGCTGGGAAAGATTGAATGCAGGAGTAGAAGGGGATGACAGAGGATCAGATTGTTGGATAGCATCACTGACTCAACGGACATGAGTCTGAATAAACTCTGGGAGTTGGTGATGGATAGAGAGGCCTGGCGTGCTGCAGTCCATGGGGTCGCAAAGAGTCAGACAGGACTGAGCGATTGAAGTGAACTGAACTGAACTGATATCTTTATTTGCCCAATAATGGTACATTTTGGTGGTAAGCTAATTGGTCACTGGAATCTTCTCACTTTCTCTACACATGTGCCTTGAGGCATATTTCCTTGTTTTTGGACCCTAAGTTTCCATTTTTTTCTTCAGTTCCTATTTCAAACTTGTGCCTGGTTTTAGTGAGTAAGAGCTATTCTCCCAATCCTGAATACCCTTCTTGTCTTGTAGGCCTCCTGCTCTTCAGAGCGCCATTCATATATCATCCTGTAATGAATTATAAAATACTATAGTTGTTTACTTGCTTGTATTCCCCACTAGACTAAGCTTTTTTAAGCCAGTGATCTTGTCTCATTATCCTGTTTAGCCAATGTCAAGAACAAGGTCTAATGGTCTAGAAACATGCTGAATCTTGAAGCAAGTTTATAGCTTTGAATGATTTGTGCTTTACCAGACTTGACTTCTCTGTAGTTTCCTTTGTAGCTATGATGAAAGTAACTTGCTAAGATTTTTTTCATTTATTTATTTATTTGATACAGATTTATTACAGATCTTCTAATTACAAAGTAGACAAAATGTTGTGGGGAATAAAAACAGATATAATTCAAGATGTGGGTCCTGCCATAGTAGCTCAGAGATTAGTGGTAGAGACAAAGCACGATCAATAAGAAAGGCACACAATCAATAAGAATGATATAAATGATGTGTTCAAAATAAGAAGTAGAGAAAGTGATGTGAGTTAACAGATAGGAGCAGGATTATGCTGGCCATTATTTTAACAACCAGCTCTCTCAAAGTGAAAGTCCTGATTTGTAGCATTTGCCAGTTTCTTGATGTAAATACTCCTACCAATACTGATTTCTAGCTACGCTTGAGATCACTGAATGCAAAGTTGTGAAAATATGTACATAATTCAACCTTGCTAGTGATTTGGGGCTGGCTCCAACATGCTTTTGGATGGGAGAAATGGTTTTAGACAGTCATGGTCTGGTCATTCATCATGGAAGAGCTAAAAATTGAAAATGGTCTTGAAGATTGTGTAGAAATTAGATTAGTCATGGAAAATACGTTCCTGATTTGAAAACTGGTAAAAGCAATGCATAGCAGCAGTAATGAGTGTGGAACACTCAGGTAAATGTACTCAGCACACAGTAGGTATTAAACAAATATGTTTGTGAACAACTGAACAGTAGTAAATAGACCATCTGATTGGAAAACACATCTCTGTACTCCGAGAACTAAGAGGACGGCTCAGATGTTGCAGCAATCCACAGGTCTCTATCTTTCTTCATAAAGATGCTTTTCAGAGGAGATGATTGGATGACATCACTGATTCAATGGACATGAGTTTGAGCAAATTGTAGGAGATGAGGAAGGACAAGGAAGCCTGGCATGCTGCAGTCCATGGGGTCACAAAGAGTTGGACACAACTGAGCAGCCATAAGATAGGATTAACAAATAATTCTAATAAAAAAGAAAATTTTAATTTTCAAAGGTGGGAGAGGCTTATAAACATTGTATATCTTCATAATAACTTTACCTCCATTAAAAATGCCTCCAAACATTGAATTAAATTATAGCATTTTCTATAAATACAGATCAAGGTGGGCTAGATAAAGATCAACCATTTTATCTCACCTGGCTTATAAATATGGAATTTGGTGGTTGGCAGGAGTCAAGAAAACAGCCATAGACAACATGTAGATGAATGACTGTGGTTGTGTTCCAATTACATCTTATTTACAAATAAGATAAGGGACAGATATGGCCTAAAAGCCATAGTTTGCGTATTTCTTGCCTGGGGCATCAAGAGATCTAGGAAATTTAGGTTTCTTTAAAGTTCACGGGATGGCACGAAAGATCAAAAAAATGCCCAAGATTCACAAAGATAATATGACATAAAAATGACTCAGTAAACAGGATGAGATGGGGGGAGGCATCACTGACTCAATGGACATGAGTTTGAGCAAACTCCTGGAGACAGTGAAGGAGAAGAAAGCCTGGCATGCTGCAGTCCATGGGGTCGCAGAGTCAGACAAGACTGAGCGACTGAACAACAGCAGCAAAGAGTCCAATCTGTGCTGGTAGGGTATTTTTCCCAACATTTTTCCTTCTGCCTTGATGTCTAGGTTTGCTGGTTTTGATGTTATCTGTTATCATATTTTGGTGCTTATATACTTTCTTGAAAACTGATTTCTGAATAAAACTTGATATGGGTTATTACTTAATTCTTATAATATTAAAGTTGACAAGAAAGCAATAAAATCTGCTTCATAATCTTCCAGGCAAATATTCACTTACTTATTTGATACTGTATCCATGTTCTTGGGAACGTGAGTGAGGTGGAGATGGTGACAGCTTCTTCAACCACTCATCCACTGATGGACCCTTATGTTGTTTCCACATCCTGGTTATTGTAAATAATGCTGCTATGAACGTAGGGGTGCCCTTTTCAAGTTAAGTGTTTTGTTTTCTTTGGATACATTCCCAGAGTTGGGACTGCTGGATCATATGGCGGTTGCATTTTTAATTTTTTGAGGCTCTTCCACAGCATTTTCCATAATGGCTATATCAGTTTACAAATTTCACCAACACTGCACAAGGATTCCCCTTTCTCCACATCCAGCCCAGCATTTATCTCTCGTCTTTTTGGTGATGGCCATTCTAACAAGCAAGAAGTACTATTTCATTTTGGTTTTAATTTGCATTTCTCTAATGACTAGTGATACTGAGCATCTTTTTATGGACTTGTTGGCTTTTTGTACATCTTCTTGACATCCACTACATTTAAAACCAATAATCACATAATTTATGAAGTGCCAACCAACCTGTCAACAAACGCATGATGAAGAAGGAAGATGGGATCATTGGCAGATCCTGGTACCTGGGACATCGTTCCGTTCATGTAGATGTGCAAGGCATTGTGCATACCGCTTTGAGAGGCATCTGCTATCCCAGTAAGCGGATTAGCAAATCCTGTTGGCAAAAAGAAAATTGGAAAAAAAAAAAGTTTATTTTAATGATTGAAAATCTAAGTGAGTTTCTCATTTGGATTACAACTGCACTTGAAAAATAATTGTCTGATTCAAAATAATAAAGTCAATCATAAAATGCATTCTACATTGGGGTTGTTCATATTCCAGATACCCAGTGAGCATTTAATAAATCTTTGTAGAGTTGAATGGTGCTAATCTGGTCACAATGGACTGATTAGCCAGATGGAATTGGCTAAGCCAATCTGTGTTCCATCCTGTTGCTTCTGCCTAGGATTCCTCCTTTAGATCCTAAAAAGTAATAAGACCTTTTTGCGATAATCAGCACAGTCACTCTCACTTCAGTCAGCACTTAAAAACATCTTTCCAGCTGTAATATGTCCTCTTGCTTTCCAGCTCCGGTGGATACTTTTAATTTTTATTTCTGATTCCAGAGGAAAATTAAAACCTGTGACCACTGACATTACAATTCATCTTTGACAGTCTGGAGGACTTCGGGTAATGTGTTTCATTTTGCAAAATATTTAAAAGTTAATCAGGACTCCATTAAATGGCTCTATTCATTGCACCAGGAATAATAATTATGATAAGAGTTATTTTTTTCTGTATGTCAATTGAGCTAAATGCTTTCTGTGACATAAGTCCTTCAGTCTTTGCAGCAGCTCTGCTGATTAGAAATTATCCCCACTGGAAAGAAGAGAAAAATGAAGCTCAGAAAAGTCCTGAGTTTCCCAAGCTTGCACAGGTAGTAGCCGAGTCGGTATTTTAACCCATATCAGTTAGACGGCAACATCTGAGCTCTTGATATTGTGTTCTCTCCCATACATTACCAGGGAATAGGTGAAATATGATATTATTTCAGTGTCCATTCAGGGAAAACACACACAAAAAAGTAGAACTCAGATATAAAATCAAACAAAGTGGGAGGAACACAGTTAAACTGTAAATCAGAACCAAGCTGAAGGAAAATGCCAAGGACTTATTGAATTTCAAAATTTAGCATTATCAGGAAAACAGAAACTGTGAGGTTATAATTTTATTTTAAAAGGTAGGATAGAAACAGTGCAGACAATAGGAGGCAGAGGGAAACTAGCTTCCTTTCAAACAGTTAGGATTATTTTGTTGTCAGCTTCATTTTTAAAGTGCAGCTCTTGACTTCTGAGTTCAATGGTTTGTCTTCTCCTACCGTTGTGGCTGACAGCATCTCTGCCCCCTCAGCTGATGTTTTCGTTTCCTGCTTTTGAGCTTTTATACTCATTCTCAGATACAATATCAAGCCCAGCTACCTCCGGAAGCTTAGCCCAAGACCACACACTTCTCTCTCCCCACTGACATTACTTGTGTATGACAACTTTTATGATTGTGTCTGTGTGTGTGAGCTCAGTTGCTCAGTCATGTCTGACTCTTTGCAACCCATGGACTATAGCCCACCAGGCTCCTCTGTCCATGGGATTTTCCAGGAAAGAATACTGGAGTGGGTTGCCGTTTCTTCTCCAGGGGATCTTCCTGACCCAGGGATCAAATCCACATTTCTTGCTTCTCCTGCATTGGCAGGTGGATTCTTTACCACGAGCACCACCCGAGAAGCCCAAGATTGTATATACATGGTTCTTAATATGTACAGGGATTTTCCTAAAAGCTTAACATGATTATTTTCATGTAACCTTCAGAATGGTTCTACAAATTAGATATCTTCATTATCTCTGTTATGTAAATTTGGATAAAACAGTTTAGAGAGTTTAAGCAAATTGTCTAAGATTAAAAAGCAAATAAGAGAAGCTAAGGTTGGAACACAAACCTGTTTTATTCCAGAACTTAAGCTCTTAAATGCATTGGTTAATTGCTTTTCGTATTAGTAATAAGTCATATATCATGGGGGAACTTCTGCAGCGCAATGGTCTTTAAGCTTCTATCTTTGAGTAGAACAAAATGAAAGCTTTAAAACCATCTTTTAGGTATGCTCTCACATATTTTAAGTACTTTCTAAATTTCTTTAGTTATAATTGCAAATAGTTTTAGAGGAAAAAATTCAGGGGTAGATATTGCAAATAGTATAAATTTTAAAATAAAAATTTGAAATCACTTTATAAAAATGTATCCAGTGTAGTGGTTTGATATTTGCCATCATCCATAATCAAAGTTCCCAAACTCTTCTATTATAGTCTGAAATTTTATAGGATTTCCTTTTTTTCCCACTAGATCTCATATTCTTATTCTGTTTTCCCACAGGAGTATGCAAAAATGTTATATATTATGCTTAAAATTTTTTTAAAAAATTCATCAGCCTGTCATACTTTTCTGCAACAAAACTAGGTATAGAAGTTAAAATTACCTTTTAAAAACTTCATGTGACAATATAATCTAGATTGTCACTAAAAATTTTACTAATACACATTTTATTAGAATGGTGTAACACTAAATATTTTACAAAAGAAGTTATTAAATATAAAAAGTAAAGTTTTATTGAAAATTCATTTCTTAACAATATTTATGAAAGATTGTTATTTAAAAGGGCTTCCTGGTGGCTCAGACAGTAAAGAATCTGCCCGCAATGCAGGAGACCAGGCTCGACTCCTGGGTAGGGAAGATCCTCTGGAGAAGGGATGGCTACCCACTCCAGTATACTTACCTGGACAATCCCATGGACAGAGGAGCCTGGTGGGGTGCAGTCCATGGGGTCATAAAGAGTAAGACACCACTGAGTGACTAACATCTGTTAGTTAAAAATTATTGCAGATATCTATAATACCCTGCAATAGTTGTTGCTAGAAAGAATAAGGCTCACCATATTTTCAATTCTAAATTAAAAAAAAATCATTAGTCTTGAAAACTTTATTCTCATAAAAAACTAGATAGTAATAAAAAGATTTTTATAGGAGTTTCACTTAATTACTTAAAGTCTTTTTTTAGTATATGCCAAAAATGACATAGCTGATTCAGCATCAAAATAATCTAATCCATCAGTGACAACTCAAACAAAAATTCTTTGATGAAAGTAGCTATAAGTGCTTTTATTTACAAAGCACTTAACTTTCAAGATACTCGCTACTTTTCGTTAGAGCCATTCATTCCAGCAACACTGGCACCAATACTCTGAGTTCTCTGCTGGTTTAGTACCTCGTATGATTTTACCTCTTCTGGGAGTGTACTGTGATTAAGTATGGATATAGGCTGGAGGTACACCTTTGTTCTGAAAAGTTGAAGGGAGATTAAGCAAGGGTAGGTGGTAAAGAAGAATCTCAGGAGATATCTCATTCAGAATGATTTTAATAAAATATATTTGGGAGAAAGATCTGGAAATAAATTTTCTTAAAACTCTGTGCCATGTGCCTTTTAAAGTGTCTTAGTGAACCTGTAGTGGTGTTTTTTTTTTTTTTAGCAATTTGAAGATACTGTTTGTAGAGAAAAAAATTTTAGAGAAGAGCAAACTGGGTTTAAATTCTACATTTTTTATTTTCAAAAATGTATTATTTTTCTCAAGTTATGTTTTGTGAGCCTTGTTTTCTTCATTGGTAAGAGGGAATAATTAATACTCCTCTCTCATATCTTTAGTCAGGCAGTTCAGTTACTAAGTCGTGTCTGATTCTTTGCGACCCCATGGACTGCAGCATGCCAGGCCTCCCTGTCCATCAGCAACTCCCGGAGTTTACTCGAACTCATGTCCATTGAGTCGGTGATGCAATCCAACCATCTCATCCCCTGTCATCCCCTTTTCCTCCTGCCTTCAATCTTTCCCAGCATCAGGGTCTTTTCCAATCAGTCAGTTCTTTGCATCAGGTGGCCAAAGTATTGGAGTTTCAGCTTCAACATCAGTCCTTCCAATGAATATTCAGGACTGATTTCTTTTAGGACAGACTGGTTGGATCTCCTTGCAGTCCAAGGGACTCTCAAGAGTCTTCAATACCACAGTTCAAAAGCATCAGTTGTTTGGTGCTCAGGTTTCTTTATATTCCAAATCACACAGTCATACATGACTACTGGAAAAGCCATAGCTTTGCCTAGATGGACCTTTGTCGGCAAAGTAATGTCTCTGCTTTTGAATATGCTGTCTGGGTTGATCATAGCTTTTCTTCCAAGGAGCAAGCATTTTTTAATTTCATGGCTGCAGTCACCATCTGCAGTGATTTTGGAGCCCCCCAAAGAAAGTCTCTCACTGTTTCCATTGTTTCCCCATCTATTTGTCTATTTATCAAACAATTTCTCTTACTTTTACAGCAAGTGTGATGCAATTAGTATAGAATCTAGCACAAGACAAATGCTTCCTGAATAGTACCTATCATTTCTGTAAATTTGTTGCATCTGATAAATTGGTGCCTATTCAGAGAGCTGCTAACCAAGAATATGGGCCACTCCAACCACAGAAAAACTGCTTTTGCCACAAATTTCCACCTTAAGGATCCATCCCAGCACCAGACACTTCTTGACTCATGACCCCATGAACTGTAGCCCGCCACGCTCCTCTGTCCCTGGGATTTACCAGGCAAGAGGACTGGAGTGGCTTGCCATTTCCTTCTCCAGAGGATCTTCCTGACCCAGGGATGAGACCCATGTCTCTTCTGCCTCCTGCATCGGCCACAGATTCTTTACCACTAGCACCACTCAGGAAACTCCTCCTAAATTCCATTTCTCTACAAAAGCCTGCCTGCTTGCCCTCAGCCAACAATAGATGCGTCAGGGTGATCCTGAAAACTAGATTGCTATTCTAAGCATGTTTTCAGACAGGCTAGAGCTTCTTTACTCATTTTTTTGCTAACTTGCCAGATGATGCATCTAGGAAAGTCTCCAATGTTCTTATGAAGGGTATTTGAATGAGAAGAACATGGGGTTTGTCAGAATACATTGTGTTATGTGCTCAGAAATAGTTCAAAGGTACAGGTTGGACAAACACCCAACCTCTTTGTGATAAGTACCAAATTGTTAATACAGGCAATCTGATTATAGTAACAATTTTAAATGGACTGTGTGTATCTAATCTCTTAAAAT